GGCCAGCGGGAGAGTTGTGAGGTTCGAACTCCAGCAACCTGAGGCTGACAGCTTTGTGGAAGCAGCCACTTAAAGGCCTGAGCTAGGGCCAGGCCCCCAGTCACGGTAGTTTTTAAAAGATATGTGTAGGAATAATAAGGGATGATTATTAAAATTTGTGAGGCATATTATTGGGAATGAAGACTTTTTCTAGGAAAGCTCAGGATGAAAAAGGGGTATGAAACCCAGGGTTATCGCCTGTTCAAATGCAAGCTGGGCCCATTGCCAAGAAAACCCGGCTCAATGAATTGATGAGGTACCATGCTCAGCAGAAGCAGAGTAAGCTTCCACCAGTCCTAGAGCCTGTAAAAGCACCACAGCAAGGACTCGGGATAGGAGTCACAAGGCTGGTCACCTTCAAGATTTCTTCAGTAAGCAGCGCTGGACACAGCATCCAGGGCCTGGATAGAAATGAGGTGTCCAGGAAAGGAAACTAGTGAAAGTAATCTCTTTCTCTGAGATCAAGAAACTCAGTGTGCAGGAAGCCAGGTCCCACCTGTAGGCAGCTACAGGAGGAAGAGCTGCCGATCTGACCTGCTACCCAGCAGGCTGCGTGCTCACCTCAGGTATTTTCAGGAACTACAATGGACAGAATGCCAACAGTGTACCTCAGTGTAAAAGACTGAAAACGATGCAAAGACAGGCACTCTCTTCTCTCTCCACAGTTACTATTTTCTTCTGACTCTATCCCCAGAACCTAAAACCTTACTAATATAACAGAATAAGCCCTTTATAACTTCATATGATAGATCATTAAGTCAGCATCAGATGTCCAGAAATTAAAAATTACATTATCCTACAAAACATATATAAAGTAGACTTATAATTTGATAAAATAGACTTACAATTTGATAGAGAGATCGTTTTTTGAATTTAAGAAATGATACAAAATTATATGAGGGGGTTAAACATCAGGAACACCTGTGTTGATTTGGAGAGCTGCGTGCAGTCAAGGAATAATCTACAGCGTGATGCAAGAGGATGAAATGTAGCCGCTCCTGGTCAGGTATTCCTTAAGGGTAGCTCTTCTGATGAGAATGTCTTTTACTTTAATTACCTGTAAAAATTATTTTTCTTCCTTCTCTAGCCCATTTTCATTAAGGTTGATATTTGAATAACCCTGTTCTGTTTTTTGCTGGTTTCCACGGTTTCAATTTGTTAAAAATTCACTTTAATCCGGGGCCGGGGAGATGGCTCAGTGGAATAAGCACTTCCCTGGCAAGCCCAAGGGCCTGAGTTCAATCCCTGGTTCCACAAAAAAAAAAAAAAAATTTACTTTAATCCTTTACCCTGTGGGTAGCAATGTGTGTCACTATATAATCTTCCATTTTTCTTTAGCTCTAAGCAATTTGATTGTTACTTGCTTAACATGAAATTCTTGGTGTTTATTTGATTTGAGTTCCAGCTTTTGAATCAGTAGTTTTATGTCTTTCACTGATTTAGAAAAGTTTTCTATCATTTTTTTGAGTAGTCTTTAGTATGCACCCCTCATTTCCCAGGACTCAAGTGAAATATAAAAAATGGAATCTTTTGGGCTGGCCAAATAGCTCAGTGGATTAAAGGGACTATAAGCAGGCACAGGGACCAGGGGTTCAATCCCCGGGCCTGCCATGCCGGCCCCACTCCCGGGGTGCGCTGAGATGGTAGTTGAGATTGGGTGTGGTGGTGCATACCTATAATCCCAGCTCTTGGGAGGCCGTAAACAGGAGGATCACTGAGTCTGACCTAGTATTGAGACCCTTAACATCCTGTAGACCCTTCCCTAA